TCAGCGCTGGTGACCACAGACCCTTTTGCTCTGTCACCGCTAAGCTTTTGCCTTTTCCAGAATGTCCTGTAATTGGAGATACACAGACTGTGGCCTTTTCAGATTGGCCTCTTCCATGTAGCAATGTGTGCTTAAGGCCGCTACATGTCTGTGTATGGCTTGACACCTCATTTTTCCTCCAACCTTATTGGGATACAATTGACAAATAAAATTGTATGTATTTAAGGTGTACAACGTGATAATTCAAAATACATTTACTTCGTGGAATGATCCCCGGTATCAGGTTAACACATCTATCACCTCCCACAGTTACCTTTCTTGGTGTGTGTGTGTCTGTGTGTGTGTGTGTGTGTGTGTGTGTGTAGGTAATGGGAACCCTTAAGATCTACTCTTAGCAAATTTCAAGTCTACAACACAACACAGTATGATTAACTAGAGTCACCACGCTGTGCATGACATCCCTGGAACTCATTCGTCTATACATGAAGGCTCGGACCCTCCGACCAGCATCTCCCCATGTCCTTGATAACCACACTCTCCTCTCTGTTTATGACAGCACATTTCTTTTCATCACCAAAAAACACTACACTGTATGGATGCACCACAGTTTGTTTATCCATTCACCTGTGAAGGGCACCTCGGCTGTTTCCCATTTGGGCCAATTGTGTATAAACCTGCTCTAAACCTTCATGTGCACATTTTTGTGTGGACGTAAGTTTTCAACTCTTTCCGGTAACACCCCGTGGTCCATGACAGCACCAAACACATGTATTTAAAGGAAGAAATGACATGGTTTCTCTATAGTCTCTTCAGAAAATAGAGGGCACACACCTGATTTATGAGGGCAGCATTACCCTAGTGTTCCAAAATCAGATAAAGGGACTGCAAGAAAAGAAATCACAGTATCTTTCATGGCCATAAGTGCTGAAATGTTCGACAAAATATTAAAAAGTCAAATTTTTTAAAAAATCCGACAATGTATAAGAAGAATTACAGGGGCACCTGGTTGCGTTAGTCGATGGAGTATGTGGCTCTTGATCTCTGGGTTGGAAGTTTGAGCTCCATGTTGGCTGTAGAGATACTTAAAAATAAAATCTTAAAAAAAAAACAAGTAAATAAATCCCTCTATGGCCAGATGGGATTCATTTCAGGCATGCAACGCTGGTTCAACATTAGGGAGTCTATTAATGCAATCCATCATATCACCAAGCTAAAGAAGAAAAATCACATGATCATATCAATAGATGCAGAGGAATCATTTGACAGAATCTAACATCTGTCATCATAAAATTGCAGCAAAGGGACCCCCTGGGTTGGCTCAGTGGTTGAGCGTCTGCCTCCAGCTTGGGGTGTGATCCTGGGGTCCTGGGATCGAGTCCCACGTCAGGCTCCCTTTGTGGAGCCTGCTTCTCCCTCTGCCTGTTTCTCTGCCTCTCTTTCTCTCTGTGTCTCTTAGGAATAAATAAATGTAATCTTTAAAAAAAAATTGCAGCAAAGTAGGAATAGAAGGGACCTTTCCCAACATAACAAAGAATGTCTGCAAAAAACCTGTAGGTACATGTCAATTATACTTCAATTAAAAGATCAATAACAACAACAAAACCTACAGATACCATTATTAATGATGAGAAGCTACATGTTTTCCCAAAGTCAGGAACAAGGCAGGGGTGTCCCCTTGCACCACTCCTGTTAAACATTATATTGAAAGAGTAAAAAAAAAAAAAAAACACCAACCTAGGATTTTGTATCCAGTGAACATATCCTTCCAAAACAAAAAAATACTTTCTTAGGCAAAAGCTGAAAAGAATTCAGGGCACCTGGCTGACTCAGTTGATAGAGTGTGTGACTCTTGATCTCAGGGTTGTGAGCTGCACATTGGGCACAGAGACTACTTAAAAACAAATTTTTTTAGAAAGCTTAAAGACTGTGTTGCCAGTAGAGCCATTTTGCAAGAAATGTTAAGTTCTTCAGAGAAGAGGAAAATTATATAGGCCAGAATCTCAGATCTACATAAACCCCCTTTTTTTTAGATAGAGAGAGAGTGCAGGAGGAGGAGCAGAGAGAGAGGGTGCAAGTCTCAAGCAGGCTCCACACCCAGCATGGGCCTCAGTCTCACAGCCCTGAGATCACAACCTGAGCCAAAATCAAGAGTCAATCACCTAACTGACTGAACCACCCCATCCTTTTAAGTATTCCCTCTCACTCCTTGCTTGCATGTTTTTTTTGTTTGTTTTTTGTTTGTTTTGTTTTTTTTTTGTTTTTTGTTTGTTTGTTTTGCTTGCATGGTTTCAGACAAGAAATCTCAGGTGACTTTCACCCTTGTTTCTCTCTAGGTGAGCTGGTTTTTGTTTTTGTTTTTTCTTCTGGCTTATTTCAGGGTTGTCCCTTTAACTTTGGTTTTCTGCACTTTGAATATCCTATGCCTACATGAAGGGTGTTTTATATTTACCCTGCTTGGTGTTGTCTAGGATTCCCTGAATTTGTGATTTGGTTTCTGTCATTAACTTTGGAATACTCTCTGTTTGTTTTTGTTGGGGGTTTCTTGTGTGTGTGTTTTGGTTTTGTTCCACGATGGAGTCACACCAAGGCACACACACTACCTTCTGGGCAACCAGGGCCCTACTCCATTTTTCTTGGCACTTATTTTTTTTAAGATTATGTTTTTAAGCATTCTCTATATACAGTGTGGGGGGAGAGGCTCAAACTCACAACGCTAAGATCAAGAGTCACATGTTCCACCAACTGGCACCCCACCCAGCACTTATTTTATTGCAAAAACAAGATGGTCTCAAATACCACTTTGTAAATGGCTTATCTCACTTATGGAGAACTCATTTCTGTGCTGAGGACAAGAACTCACCATCACTTAGGGGCCAGTGGTGCTGGCTAGACTGCCGTGCTGACCTTTGGCTGGAGGGACAGGCTCCCACCTTCAGCCTCTGTGGACCTATCTGTCCTTTGTCTGTGTGCTGTTCCTGTGATGCATCCACACTGTGTGTTCTTGTGCAGAGAAGGGGCCCGGAAGCCCAGTGAGCTTGGAGCACAAGGTCAGATTCTGTTTAGCCACCCATTCCTGGATAGCCTCGGTGGACACCACTCAGAAGGTGGCCATGAATTGTGAGCACATCAGTCATGCCTCCAGAGCTCGGGGACATCTCTGGGGCTCATGCTGTTTCAGCCACAAGGCCCAGAATGCCAGGACACCTGGGTGGCTCAGTGGTTGAGTATCTGCCTTTGGCACAGGGCGTGATCCCGGGATCTTGAGATCAAGTCCCACATCAAGGTCCCCGCAGGGAGTCAGCTTCTCTGCCTCTGTCTCTGTGTCTTTCATAAATAAATAAATAAAATCTTTTTTTAAAAAGCCCAGAATGAAAAAAAAAAAAAAAACCAGAATGCCTGGTACCTGGATGCACTGATGGGCACCCCAAGGCTGGTGCTCACCTACACACCACAGCCTGTGAATGAGTGCTGGGTATCCAGGCCCCATCCCCAAGAGTAACAGACAAGAGTAACAGAGTGCTCACCAGGCCAGAGCTGCTGCTGCAGGTGCCCAGGCCTCTGAGCCACACATCCACCACCACTGGCCCTGCACGACATGGGCAGTGAGTCCCAGCCATTATCACTTTAAATGTTCCTTCTGCTCCTGTCTTCTTCCCAGAATTCCCATTCTATATAGGCAACATCCTTTTTTTTTTTTTAAGATTTTATTTATTCATGAAAGACACAGAGAAAGAGGCAAGAGACACAGGCAGAGGGAGAAGCAGGCTTCCTGCAGTGAGGCCAATGTGGGACGTGGGACTTGATTCCCAGGAGCCCGGGATCACGTCCTGAGCTGAAGGCAGACACTCAACTGCTGAGCCACCCAGGCGTTCCCTAATGCAACATCTTTTATAATTGTCCTTCAGTTCTTGGACATTCTGTTACTTTTCTTCCTCTTTGCATTTTAGTTTGGAAAGTTTCTAGTGACATATCTTCAAGCTCACTGATTCTTTTCTCAGCTGTGCACAGCCCACCCATGCACCCACCAAAGCCATTCTCCATTTCTGTTAATTATTTTGTTAATTCCAGTATTTCTTTTTGATGCTTTCTTAGAGTTTCCATCTCTTTGCTCACATTACCCATTTATTCTTGCATGTTGCCCACTCTTTCATTAGAGCCTTTGGCATATTAACCATTGTTGTGTTAAATTCCCCATCCAAGGGGGCACCCAGCTGTCTCAGTCAGAAAAGTATGTGACTCTTAATCTTGGGCTTGTGAGATCAAGTCTCATGTTGGGTGTAGAGATTACTTAAAAAATAAAATCTTTAGGGCAGCCCGGGTGGCTCAGTGGTTTAACGCCACCTTTGGCCTGGGGCATGATCCTGGGGACCCAGGATCGAGTCCTACATCAGGCTCCCTGTGTGGAGTCTGCTTTTCCCTCTGCCTGTGTCTCTGCCTCTCTCTCTCTCTCTCTCTCTCTCTCTCTCTCTGTATGTCTCTCATGAATAAATAAAATATTTTTTAAAAAATTAAAAAAATAAAATTTAGAGGAGCTCAGGTGGCTCAGTTTGTTAAGTGTCTTGCCTTCAGCTTAGGTCATGATCCCTGCATCAGGCTCCCTTCTCTCTGCCTGCTGCTCCACCTACTTGTGCGTGCTCTCTCTCTCTTTGTGTGTGTCAAATAAATAAATCAAATCTTTAAAAAAGATTTTTTAAAAATAAAATCTTTAAATTCCCTGTCCTGCCAACATCTCTGCCATAGCTGAGTCTGGTTCTGAGGCTTGCCTTGTCTCTTCAAATTGCACCTTTTTTTTTTTGTGATTTTTTGTTGTTGTTGTTGAATGTCAGACAGACGCTAGGTAATAGAACTGAGGTACACAGCACTTTAATGAGAGATTTGTATGTTTTTCTGGCCAGGAGGTAGGCTCAAAGGCTGAAATTTCCTCTTGTCTCCTTGTTTTTCCCCTGTTGTCCTTGGGTGTCCCTAGAGACTCCTTCTTCAGTGGAGTCAGCCTTACAGCAGTGTTTGCTTTGGCAGCACATATGTTAAGATAGGAATGACACAGAGAAGTTTAGCATGACCCCTGTGTGGGGATGACATGCAGATTCATGAAGAATCAGCCTTGCAGCTCTTGCAGCTATAATCCTCTAGGACACAGGAGCCCTACTGTTGGGGTGGGAAGGCATCCTTGGATCAGATGATTCGGTCTGTCTTTTTTTTTTTTTAAGATTTCATTTATTTATTCATGAGAGACACAGGGAGAGACAGAGACATAGACAGAGGGAGAAGCCGGCTCCCCATAAGGAGCCTGATGTAGGCCTCGATCCCCCGACCCTGGGATCATGACCTGAGCCAAAGGCAGACACTCAACCACTGAGCCACCCATGTGCCCCTAGGTCTGTCTTCTTGTGGGCCTGTGGCCTGGCTTGTGATCCTCACAAGTACTGCTTCTCAGGTCTTTTTTGCCCCTTAGGTAAGACAAAGGCTACAGGGGGCTGGAGTTAGGTTGATCCCTTCCCCCATGTTGGATGAGGCTCTGGGGAAGTTGTCTCTGTTGCTGGCTGGCCTTTACTTTTTTGTTTTGCTTTGGTTTGTTTGTTTTGGTGGAGAATGAACTATCTGGGCATATTTCAAATGCTTACATGTCCCCTCCTCCTTATGTCAAACACAAAGATGTTTTGCTCCAATCTTCACCGTGAGAACCTGGTGGGGCTGCTTGGAGGTAAAACATAAACATGTGCCCCTTCCTTAGACTGCTTCACTTAGGGTGAGTTTTTAATTCTCAAGTTAGTCCCTGCTCAGCCTTCAGCATTTCATCGACATTACCATTTAAGGGGTCATGTAGGTGGTCCTACCAGTTGCTGGTTCCACTGGCTTCTGCTGCTGGTAAGTCGGGATACTCTTTGCCTATCTTTACAGTTTTGGGGAGGGGCTGTTGTTGTCCTGGGACCCCAGTTTTCTAATGGATCTAAGAAAAATCCTTAGTTCTCAGGGTTTTTTCAGCTTTTTTCTTGTTTTGAGGGCAGGAATGACGACTTCCAAGTTCTCTGTGTGTTGAAGCTAAACCTGAAGGCCTTATCTTTATGCTTGCTCCCCGGTGCCTTTCTAACAAGTGCATCTAGAAGGGTGTTTACTCAGCAGGTGTGGCTGGAGAAAACCATTAAGAAATATCTCTGAATCTGATTTTAACACAGACCAATATGAACAGCAGTGAGGGGGTAGAGCCACAGGAGCTGGGACACTTCTGCTATGGCTGACCAATAATCAAATTTATTTTCCAAAATATAAAAAAATCATAAAAATACAAAAAAAACCTTGTCTCATTCCCAACTGTTAGTCAATCAACGACTATTATCTGCCTACATGAAGAAAGCCATTAGAAACTAGAAAAATGCAAATTAAATTAAAATGCAAATTAAAAATGAAGTGCAATGCTGGGGTGCCTGGGTGGCTTGGTCAGTTGGGCATCTGCCTTTGGCTCAGGTCATGGTCCCAAGGTCCTGGAATTGTGAGCCCCAAATCAGGCTCCCTGCTCAGCAGGGAATCTGCTTCTACCTCTCCATCTGCCCCTCCCCTCCCTGGATATGTGATCTCATGAGTGCCCTCCCTCCACAAATAAATACCTTAAAAAAAAAAAGAAAAAAAAGATGAAGTGCCAGTTTGTGCAAACTCTACTTTCTGGTTTTCTTTTTTATTTATTTATTTATTTATTTATTTATTTATTTATTTATTTATTTATTTTGTTAATTTTTATTTATTTAGGATAGTCACACAGAGAGAGAGAGAGACAGAGACACAGGCAGAGGGAGAAGCAGGCTCCATGCACTGGGAGCCTGACGTGGGACTCGATCCCAGGTCTCCAGGATCACGCCCTGGGCCAAAGGCAGGCGCCAAACCGCTGCGCCACCCAGGGATCCCCAACTTTCTGGTTTTCTTATGTTGTTTGTTTGCTCATCTGTATTTAGCAAAAGCAAAATTACAAAAGCCAAATGTTATGAAGTTGTAAGGAAACATGTGTCCTTTGGCATTGCTAATAGTGCCATAAATGAATACACTGAAATCTGGCAAATGTGACAAGCCAGTCAGAGTCAGATGTGTTTTGACTCAGTAATTCCATTACTGGGATTTGGGGGGAGATTTTTTTCCCCTAGACAATAATCCAAGCGAGAACAGCCACATGGACAAAAGTGCTTGTACCAGCACTATTTGAAATCCCAAAAAGAAAGTAAATAGTCAAAAAATCTTAAAAAAAAAAAAAAAAAGAAAGGAAAGAAAGGAAAAGAAAGGAAATAGCCTCTATGTCCTTCTTTAGGGAATGGTCTAGCAAACTTGCAAGTCAGGACAACAATTAGTCTTCATGTCCCTACCCCCACCCCCATGCTTTCGTCTCCCAACATGCGAATCCCAGCCACACTGGTGAGTCAGTTTTATGTCCACTCCTCTGAAACGACATTGCCCCCTCTCTTGCCCACTTGGCTGGGAAGTTCCAGTGTGTCTTGCTCATCTTGGTACGCCTGCCACCTACTTCAGGCTCTGGTACAAAGAATCTAAAAGGCTAAGGTGCATAACACGGGGCATAGGTCCTCTGCACCCCCATCACTGGGAGCCTATTGGAAATGCGGAATCCCTGGTTGAAGAGGGTAAACTTCATGACATATATATATGTCCCCATGATTAATAATGCAAATGCAGGGGATCCCTGGGTGGCTCAGCGGTTTAGCACTGCCTTCGGCTCAGGGCGTGATCCTGGAGACCTGGGATCGAGTCTCACGTCCGGCTCCCTGCAGAGGGAGAGCCTGCTTCTCCCTCTGCCTGTCTCTGCCTCTCTCTGTGTGTCTCTCATGAATAAATAAATAAAATCTTTAAAATTAATTAATAATCAATTAATTTAAAAAATCTTTAAAAAAAACTAATTTGAATGCAGTCTCAGGAAGCACCTCAGATGTACTGCATTTCGCCAGACACGTTTTAACAAATTCCCAGGTGATTTGTTTACATTTTGAGACACCCTGTTATGTTGGATGTAAAGTTACTCTTAAAATATAAATTCCCATCATTAGTTACTATTTCTAGTCATAACATATACTTTCTTTTTCTCCCGCACTGTGGGAGGCTGCTCTTTATCTTCTCTTGGACTCCTTCATTTGCACAAAGCATGGAGAAATCACAGTGGCAGCTGGCCGACTCCAAGGACGGCATGGTGCCATGGCAACGTCTTCCATCAGTAACTTCATTTCATCTCTACTTTTACATCTTTCTCTGCTCAGTCCTGAAGCTGGGAATTTTTTTAATTTGGAAAGAACCTAAGATGGCTTGTGGTTGCTATGCCGACAGCAACTGCACGCTTCCTAATGGGCTTGAATCTCATAAAGGAAACTTATCAGCAGATCAGACAATTTTAACCCCAAGGGGCCGCAGAGAGACTTCCTCCCCTCCCTTGGCTGAGGATGGCCCTGGGGCTGGGAGGTGAGGCTCCCTGTCTGCTGCATGGCTACCTGCCAGCCTGCTTTGAAGTCACACCCCAGCAGGCTGCTCGGTCTGGCCAATCCAAGGGTTTTAGGCAGGATTTGGGGACAGAAGACAGGCTAGAAGACCCTTAGGAGACTTGCTTTAAATGGCTTTTTAAAAATTATTTTTTTAAAAGATTTTATTCATTTATTCATGAGACACAGAGAGACAGAGAGAGAGAGAGACAGAGGGAGAATCAGGCTCCTTGGAGGGACCCCGACGTGGGACTCGATCCCAGGCCTCCAGGATCAGGCCCTGGGCTGAAGGCAGCACTAAACTGCTGAGCCACCCGGGCTGCCCTTAATTATTTTTTTTATTTTTTATTTTTTTTATTTAAAAAAATTGTTTTTAAATTTTTATTTATTTATGATAGTCACAGAGAGAGAGAGAGAGGCAGAGACATAGGCAGAGGGAGAAGCAGGCTCCATGCACCGGGAGCCTGACATGGGATTCGATCCCAGGTCTCCAGGATCATGCCCTGGGCCAAAGGCGGGCGCCAAACCGCTGTGCCACCCAGGGATCCCCTAATTATTTTTTTTAAACTGAACTTTATGCCCAATGTGAGGCTTGAACTCATGACCCTGAGATCAAGAGTCACATACTTTACCAACTGAGCCAGCCAATCACCTCGCTTTAGGAGTCTTTCTACCCCCAAAACCAAGAGTATTTGCTCGCTTCGGGCTGTCAAAACACAGGCCAGGCAGCTTAAACACAGAGATTACTGTCTCACGGTTCCAGAGGCTGGAAGTCCAGGATCAAGGTGTCGGCAGGTTTGCTCTCTCCTGAGGCCACTCTCCTTGGTGTGTAGATGACAGTCACTTCTCCCTGTGTCCTCACATGGTCATCCCTGTGTGTGTCTGAATCCTAATCTCCTCCTGTAAGGACACCAGTTAGACTGGATCAGGGCCTGTCCTAGCGACCTCATTTTGACTTAATCACCTCTTTGAAGACTCTCTCCAAATACAGTCACGTCTGGAGGGACACAGTTTAGCACGTAACAACCAGCCAGACCGGCTCCTCTGGGAAGGCAGGCAGTGCCCCGTGTGCGTGAGAGCCTGTGCAGGCCCAGATCCAGCACGTGACAGCTAACGCACCGTCGTGTTCACACTCGGGGCTGCAGAGCCTCCCTTGGGCGCGGAGACAACTGCAACGCCATGGCTTACATCCTCCAGTCCACCTTTGACGTGGGTAGCCTGATCCACCCACCCGTGATGGGCTCGAGTCCATAATCGCCAGGCAGGTTGCTGGCAGCTGTTGTTCGACACCAATGAACCCCAAGGTGCCATGCCATTGTGCACCGGGTTCCCATGCACTCTGCCACCCCTTCTCCTCCTTGGTGCTCCTCCCAGAGCCCTGGGCATCACAGAGCAGAGAGCGGGGCGTCTCGGGGCCCAGGCGCTCTTGGGTCACCCTGCAGGAGGGGCTCATCCAGCACATGTTCTGAGCACTGCAGATACAGCAGAGGACAGACCAGGTCCCTGCCCTCAGGTGGCTCACGTCCTGGCGAGGGGAGATGGACAATAAACCAAATAGAACAAAATGCAGACCAGTAGTATGGGAAGGGGGGGTAGGGGGGTTGTGAGGAGGAAAGTCAAAGCCAGGAGATGAGGGAGAGGGAGT